TGAGAATATGAGCAAGATGGGCAAGGCCAAGATTACCGACATCAAGGGCGACGACTACACCAAGGTCAGCTGGAAGGCCGACTATGCTCGCTTCGGAATGGCTGGTATCGACGACGATTTTGAGGCCATCATCAAGCGCAGAACCTACGACATGGCTGGTACGCTACGGGGCATGAAGGTCTACCTGAACGGCGACCGCATCAAGATTTCGTCATTCGCGAAGTACATGGAGATGTATACCAAGTCGATTTCGCGCGACCAGGGCAAGAGCGAGGACGACAAGGAGAAGGACGTCATCATCACAGACAAGCTTGACCGCTGGGACATTGGTTTCGCCGTGTCTGATGGTTCCTTCAACCAGGTCTCTTTCGTCAACTCGATTGCGACTACGTCTGGTGGTACCCACGTTAACCACATCGCCGATCAGATCATCGACAAGCTTATGGCGATTGTCAACAAGAAGAACAAGGCAGCTGTCAAGCTGAAGCCTGCACAGATCAAGAATCATCTCTTCCTGTTCGTCAACTGTTCCATCGTGAACCCGGCCTTCACATCGCAGACCAAGGAGCAGCTCACGACCAAGGCCAGCCAGTTCGGCAGCAAGCCGGTCCTCAGTGACAAGTTCCTGAACGCCATCGCCAAGACGGAGGTCATCCAGAACATCATGCACTTTGCGCAGCAAAAGGCCGACCAGATGATGAAGAAGACCGACGGCAACAAGCGCAACCGTATCAGCAACGCAAAGCTCACAGATGCCAACAAGGCAGGAACCAAGGACGGACATCTCTGCACGCTCATCCTGACTGAGGGTGAATCAGCCAGTGTACTTGCTTTGGCTGGTCGTGCCGTAGTCAACCAGGATCTGTTTGGTGTCTTCCCGCTTCGTGGTAAGCTCCTCAACGTCCGAGACGCGACCGTCGACCAGATCATGAAGAACGCCGAAATCCAAAACATCAAGAAGTTTATGGGACTTCAACATAAAAAGGAATATACGGTCGCCGACATGAAGAGCTTGCGCTACGGTCACCTCATGATCATGACAGATCAGGATCACGACGGTAGTCATATCAAGGGTCTACTCATCAACTTCCTCCAGTGCCAGTTCCCGAGTTTGCTCAAGATTCCCGGCTTCCTATTGGAGTTCATCACGCCCATTGTCAAGGTCTGGAAGGGCGACCCCAAGAACCCGCGCGGTATGAAGAGCTTCTTCTCCATGCCTGAGTACGAGGAGTGGAAGGAGCAGCACCAGCACGAGAAGGGATGGGATCACAAGTATTACAAGGGATTGGGTACCAGCGACATTCCCGATGCCCAAATCTACTTCAAGGATCTTGACACCCACATGAAGCGCTTCCAGGTCATGCGTGAAGAAGAAGAGAAGCTCATCGAGCTTGCTTTCTCTAAGAAGAAGGCGGATGCTCGTAAGGACTGGTTGCGCGACTTCGTCCCCGGTCAGCATCTTGATCTTACCACTCCCGACATCTCGTACGACGACTTCGTGAATAAGGAGTTGATCCTCTTCTCCATGGCCGATAACGTGCGATCAATTCCCTCGGTTATTGATGGTCTGAAGCCCGGTCAGCGCAAGGTTCTCTACACCTGCTTCAGGCGAAACATCAAGAAGGATGTCAAGGTCGTTGAGCTCGCTGGTTCCGTGTCTGGATCTACCGATTACGCTCACGGTGAAGCCTCCATGCAAGGAACCATTGTCAATCTTGCACAGAACTTTGTCGGTACCAACAACATCAACTACCTGGAACCCAGTGGTAACTTTGGTTCTCGTCTCAAGGGTGGTGCCGATGCTGCCAGCGCCAGGTACATCTACACACGCCTATCGCCATTTGCACGACGAATCTTCCACGGCCACGATGACGCACTGTTGAAGTATGGTGAGTCAGATGGCCACAAGATCGAACCTGAGATGTTTGTTCCGATCCTGCCCACGATTCTTATCAACGGTTCGAGCGGTATCGGTACTGGTTGGAGCTCTGAAATTCCCAACTTCAACCCGATGGATATTATCGACAACATCAAGCGTCGCATGCAGCCAGGTGCTACCAAGGAAGACATGCTGCCAATGATTCCATGGTACAAGGGCTTTAATGGCACAACGACAGTGCTCGGTCCTGATCGATACCAATTCACTGGAGTTGTCCGACAAACTGGCGACAACGAGGTTGAGATCACTGAGCTGCCAGTTCGTTACTGGACACAAGACTTCAAGGAGAAGCTTGAGGAGATCATTAAGGCTGAAAAGGGCCCTTCATACATCAAGGACTACATCGACTACAACACGCCCGACCGCGTCCACTTTATCATCAAGATGGAAGACAAGTACATGGCAACAGCTCTTGCCAAGGGTCTGGAAGAGATGTTCAAGCTCTTCAAGCCTCAGTCTACTAGCAACTTGGTCGCTTTCGACGCCCACGGTCGCATCCACAAGTATGCAAGCGTTCTCGATATCATCGAGGAGTTCTACCACGTCCGTCTGCGATACTACGAGAAGCGAAAGCAGCATCAGCTTCAGGTCATGGAGAAGGAGCACCTGAAGATGACGAACCAGGCCAGGTTTATCCAGATGATCATCGACGGAAAGCTCATCGTGTCAAAGAAGAAGAAGACTGTGCTTGTTCAAGAGCTCAAGAAGCTCGGCTTCACTCCTTTCCCCAAGGTCGAGGATGCTAAGGCTGCTGGTGAGGTCGAGGATGTCCAGGAGGATGACTCAGAAGATGCTGAGACGGAAGTGTCCGCCAACGATTACGACTATCTGCTAGGTGTAAGTGCTACAAAACCTTTTCCCAATACCAAAACTAACGTTTTCTAGATGGCTATCTGGTCTTTGACCCAAGAACGTGTCGAGAAGCTTCTGAAGCAGATCGGCGAGAAGCAACATGAGATCGACACTCTCATCAAGCTATCACCAAAGGACATCTGGACTGTCGACCTTGAAGCTTTCATGGATGAATGGAATGTCCAGCTGGACGAAGAAGTCAAGCGCAAGAAGAAGATCGCTGCCATCACTCGCCGACCTTCCGCAAAACTTGGTATCGGCGGCGGCAAGGGCAAGGGAAAGAAGAAGAGAAAGGCAGATGGAAGCGACTCGGACGACTCCGGATCCGACTTTGGCCCGGTTAAGAAGAAGGCAAAGCCGAAGAAGGAGGGGCTGCTTAGCTATCTCCAGCAAGAACCAGTCAAGAAGCCTAGTGCAGCAGAAGCTCTCAAGAGCAGCACCGCGTTCGGCTCAACCGCGCCGCAGAAGCAGGGTACCTTGCTCACCCATCTTGTCAAGAAAAAGGAGGAGACGCCCCAGACGGAAGGCGGAGAAGATGGTAGATCAGCTTCCGCAGACTCTGCACCAGCGCCAGCTGCAACCAAACGGGGTCGCCCAGCTGCTGCAAAACCCATCAAGAAGGATCCGCTTTCGGACGATGAAGATTCCGACGTATTCGCTGCAGTCGCCCAGGAGGCTGCAAAGGAGCCGTCCAAGACCACAGCTGCACGTACTGCTCGCAGCGCAAAGAAGCAGGCCCCCAAGTACACCATGGGCAGCGACTCCGATGACGATGATGACGATGACCTTCTCGGCGATGTTAGCAGCATGGTCAAGACCATCGGATCCGGTACGAACGGCGTTCCCATGTTCAAAGCCACCACCACTGCGCGCCCAGCAGCACCCGTAAAGAAGAACAGTCCCATCGAGCCCATCGAGATCGACGGCGACACCACAAACTACGAAGGTCTGATGCCCCAGTCTTCACCCCAACGCCCTCCTCCTCGCAACATCCACGACACAATCATGAGCTCTGACGAAGACGACTTCGATCTCGGTGTCAAGAAGCCCGTCGCCAGCAGACTTACCAAACCCGCCGCGAAGCCCAAAGCCGCAGCCGCTAAGCCCGCACCCAAACCCAAGGCCGTTGCGAAAAAGCCTGCAGCTCAAAGCCCTGCCGCAAAGGCTTACGCGAAGAAGCACGGCAAAGACGCGGAAGCTGCTAAGCCCGCAGCCAAGGCCAAGAAGCAGATCACCATCGACTCTGACGAGGATGAGGAGATGGAAGATGCGGACGCTATTGCCAACGACATCTTGTCTGACGAGGACGAGGATGAGCCGACTCCCAAGCCAGCCAAGCGTGCCCCTGCTGCGAGACCAGGTCGCAGGGCTGCTGCTAAGCCGGCGAAGTATGTGGTTAGCGACGATGAGGCGGAGTCGGATGAGGCTTCTGAACCTAGCTTCGATGACGACGATGATAGCGAGTAGATTGCTTGCTCGCTTGTCTTGTCGTTGGGTGCATGTGGGTGGGTGTTTTATACCCCGGTGATTTGGCGTTGTGGGCATGAGAGTGTTTTCCCTCGTCTTCATGGGGGGATGGGGTTGAACTCATGGGTGGTTCATCGGCGTTTTGGCGTCGCTCTCTTTCGATATACTTTATCGAGTGTGCATATTTACTAAGGATATACTTCAAAGTTGCTTGAGCTATTAACTTTGTGATTGTCAATGCTGTGTGCTCGAGGTCTGGACATGTGCGTTGCGTGTTACAGTATCTGGTTTACACACTAACATCATGCTACCAGCGAAGTTATCCTAGGCGTCGTCCTCCTATACCAATGGCCAGCGAGCATAGGCATACCCGTCATCACGAGCTGCAGTGTATACATTCCTGGAAGACTGCAGTATACTCAAGCACCAGACGCTTCGCACATCACCATACTCGTTAGCTCCGTCATGTCTAGGTACCAGTGACTTCTAGCCTCTCCTGGTACTCCGATACTACTACCTTATTCCATCAGTGAATGCACGGGTTTTATTTGTCTTGTCAACTATACCATTCTAGGCCCTTGTCCTCCGCCTGATCTTAGTGGACTTCTGGGACACTACAAGCACCTACACGCCAGCAACAGTACAGGCGAAATCTTGGGGGATATTGTTGGCAATCGCCCCTTGTAGGCCTACAGGTTCAAAGAAGACAATCGCCTACTCAACCTTCCCTAGAAAAGCGGATATGGACATCGACAACACCTCCGTCTCCATCGACTCCGCACTCCAAACACACGAAAGATTCCTCCTACGCACCACATCTACCCTAGCCCTCGCGATACTTCTCTCCAGACTACTCAGCCTATCACACGCGTATCGCGCTGTCATCCTCCTCTGCGTCGCCACCTATATCCTGGTTTTCGCCTTGACACGTTACTCCACGAAGCTACCCTCGGAAGAAGACGATACGCCACCGCCAGATGTTGATATCACTCCCACTCTGAGCCGGAAAGGCTATTTGACGATGCAGACCTCGCCTACGTTTGAGAGAGTTCGGGGAGAGGGGGAGGCTACGCCCACGAAGGCTGTTGTGTGGCCGAAGAGTCAGGCGTGGAAGAATGGGGGGAAAGTCAAGATGGGAGCGGAGACAACGATTCGGGGAGAGTTGATGGGGAGTAAGGGCAAGGACGTAGGAGAGACGGTATCGGGAAAAGGTGGTGGATCTCAAAACTACCTCCTCGTTGATTGTGAACTCAGCTCTATGTTTCTCAGCAAATGATTAACCAACCACGATTCTCGCTCTCATCAGCCGTTGCTTCCTTTATACATTGGATTAGAGGCGCCTTTTCCCTGATCCAGATCTTGCGTCCACCATGATTGGGGTCGTCCAGCCATCTTCCAGCCTCGAAGAACCGAAGTAGATCGTTTGAGCTGGTAGTCGTGATATGACGATCAAGACCACCCCTATCTACAGTGATACCAGGGTTTGCCCAGCCGATCTTCTCGAAAATTCCCGAACGATTCAATTTTTGGGCTAGCTGTTCCTCTGCTACCGGCGTGAGGTCATGCTCGGTGACATAGCTCGCGAAGGTGAATGCCTCGATCGAACTCTTCCAATTAATGCTGACATGCCAAGGCATGCCTGCAGTTGTGAGTTTGAAGCGCGTATGGAGATACAAGTTTTTCTTGAAGGCGCTCAACAGGTGTTCAACCACAGCCCCTGTAGTGTCCGCTCTGGCTTCGATGCCCTGGTAATCAGCGCCGTGGAAGACTTTAACTCTATTCACCTCAGATTCGTGGAGGAAAGAGGCAGTAGCTGCTGTCTCTAGACTATAAGGCTTCTCTGTTAATCGATCGAATCCGCCAAACTCCTTGTGATATCGAAGCGAGCCCGGAACAACAGAAATGGCAGTGGATGTAGTGGTACAGCCAACGTCGCCTTCGATCACGGAAGAATAAGCGACATATCCACCAAAGGCAACTGCTAGATCAGCTTCATTGACATCCGGTACTCCCGGAAGTAGTGCCTGCAAGGCCTCCGCTCGGAACGTGCTCATCTCTAGATACGTTTTCGGACTCGATCTATGATGGGCAAATAGCACTTCCTCTAGCACCTTTCTGTTCTTGAAACTTTGGGCGTATGTGCATAAACGAAAAGCTTTGTTCGAAGGCAGGCGATCACAAAGGCTATAGTACACAGCTTCTGTCGCCACATGTATCGCGGGAGTAACAATCGATTTGTTACTGATGAGCTCGGCGACTTCCGCAGGACCTGAGTCGGAAGAGAAGCATTTCAAGATCCATTTGTCCAAAGGAGCGTCGTCCAGAGTAGCACAAGACTCGATATTCCGACGGATAGCGTTGAAGAACTGGTTCTGCTCATCCTTAAAGTAACGGTCAACGACCCAGCCAAACTCTTTGATGATACCAGTGTGTGATTTTGTGAAGTTCTCTGAGCAGAGCGTGCGCAAGTCAACAAACCCCATTCTTCGAGACCCTAAGGTGCCGATTTCATAAGCAGTTTGAATTAAAGCTGCCGCGAGTTGCCCCATCTGGTCGATGTCGTTTTCTGCTAGGCTATATTGAAACATAAGCTTGTTCCGCGCGCTTGCAAGTTGTATGTAACTGTGCTGTTTTTCCAAGTGGTGCATGCCAGCGAAATGATCACTTCCGATCAATACCGACGATACCTTCCCTTCAGCACGCCATTCTTGTATTGTCCAGCGGTACCCGTCAGTGATTTGAATGGAGATTCGTGCGGAAGAATTGCCGAAGAGAAGCGTTCCAAATGAAACGCATTCCGTATCTTCAGGGAAAAGCCAGAGAAATACAGAGGCGAGCCAAGGCGCTGTTTCTGTGCCTTCTAGTGAAATCCTCTTCACTTCGTCGTCTTGGAGAGCTTCGAAGACCCGGGACAATATCTCTGCAACGTTCTCCAAGGACGGGCGTGAGAAGATAGCTGTCGTCTGTTTGCCCATGTTACGCAAATTTCCTGAAATCTCAGACACTGCGCGATTGTATATATCTGCAGGGAGTATCGCATCACCGTATCCGGCAAGACAGTCCACCAGGTCCTCGATTTGTCCCTTTGAGATTGGTAGCTCCCTAATGATCCGTGACTTTTCGATCATATCGAAGAGTATCGCTGCGATCTCTGAGTTTGTAAAAACCGTCTTGCATGCGACTACGAGCAAGAAGGCTGCAATGCAGGAGACAGACGTTCGCATGATGTTTGCCACTCCGCCCGTTGGGAAGCCGATGGATACTTTGAGCCAATCGAATTGCTTAGAATTGACGTTTGACAGTGCCTGAGAACCTTCTGAGATCCGACGGGTGGAGAGATTCCCTTGTATCTTCATTCCAAGGCGTTCCAGGGTGAGCAAAGCCTGAGAATGAACATCGTCGTGGCTTGTTGCTTTCCATACAGCGAGGAGAGCATTTTTGCTGTTGACAAGCGTACTGACCAGGTCCACCTGAGGCTGTATGGCATTACTCATCCTTGTAACAAGAGCCTGCAGTTGTCGTGGCGATCGAGTTTAGCTGTTATGAGCTGCGGGCGAAATGTGAGATCCGTATGTTGTTTCTCGCGTCGGATATCAGGGACTGTTGGAACATTAGTTGCTTGGCTTCTAGCTGATTATGAAACGACCTACACTGGTATCGATTTCCAATGTTGTTTACGATGGTAACAACGAAGCGCGATCTCACGAGGCTAGCTAATGGTAGGGCAGTAACGAAGCCTTGCGTGAGGCATTTTTGCACCACAGGGCTTGACCTTATAGAGAGCCTGCCGGCAACATGTCTCGCAAGACGCGACGAGGTGCTTTCCCGTCGAGGTATAACATCGGCTACGCGGGTAAAGGCTGGTTGCGTCTGACCGGAAGCCTCATGATAAATAACAACTCGTAGACCTCCCGTATGGAACCCCGCATTCACCGGCTATGGGTATACTTGAAGGCTTTCTGATTCGTCCACGATTTGATACAGGCGCTGCACCAACGCCACAACGCGATAATGCAAGTAAATCTACCACTTCTTCACCAATCACTAAGTCGTCTCTGTTTTGGGTCAATGCATCTTTTGCCTACTTCCACCACAATATAACAACGAGCTTTGAGTGGTGCAGATAGCAGGATACCCCACCCATGGGACTACCTCATGCAGTGATGACCTGGCCGTAATTGTGCCATGCGTATAAACTTCTCCAGACAATGGCTTGATCCATGTTTGGTGCTCATGTATAAACATGCAGATCGAACGATTTGACTAGGTCGATGTCAGCTGAACTCACCGATGGAAATGTCGCTATCATAGGTAAGAAATGCTAAGAAACTGCCAGTCCCATGCCCGGAAAGAAAATCGCAGCTCGCCGTTCAGTACGACCACTGAGTGAACGATGCGACGCCGCGCACTTACGTCTTCCAGTTGCTCACCCGAGAAATCACGGCACCTCATACAAGAAAAAACCCGAACAGGTCTGCAGACTACATTGAGACAAAAGCTTGCAAAGTAGATGACCTAACGTCAACGTAGACTCCAGGGTGTTCAGCTTTTTCCTAGGTTGGCGTGACGGCTCAAGTCCATAGATGTGACGTCATGATGAACAAACTCTTCCAAAGAAACAATGTCGGCCATTGAGATGATCTTGGGTATCGTAATTCCATATCATTAACTATAGTATTATTACAATCGCTAAAGATCAATGCAAACGCCACATAACGGTCGTACACGTGTACTGGTATCCTAGAAAAACCTCCGCCTTGGTCCAACCAGCATCGGCTTCAAGCACGATGTATTATCCACCTTTATATCATACATATTCCAGGTGACATTGCGCGATTTGATGCGAGCAGGCTCAGACGTTGCTGACATCTGATCGGGTATTCCAAGAAGCGTCGGAATAAGACTTATAGGTGTTCTAAACCTGGCTCATGGAGGGACCGCCACGGCGGATACCACCGCGCAGGTTGGCGCCGCTGCCGCGTCCGTTCATGATGTTGACGGCGAGTGTGGCGACGAAAGCGGCCCATCCGAACCAGAGGAAAGCGGTGGTGGCCTGGGCTTGACGGCAGTTCTGCTCGGTGTCTGCGGAGCTGTTGAGGACTTTGTTGGAGCGGGTGTATCCCTAATACATGTTAGATTATGCGCTCAACAGAGAGATCACAGATAACTTACGGCGTTCGAGCAGCTGTGTGCGCCGATGTATGCGGGAAGCGCGACGGCGGCGCAGAAACCGAAGAGGACGCTCAGTCCATCCATGGCAATGTCCACAATGGGGATGCTGAACTTCTCGATGAAGGATGTGGGCAGGAAGTATAGCAATGTGAACAACCACCATACACCGACGAAGAGTGAGTAGTTGATGATGGAGTGCGTTCCGTTCCACGCGCGGGCGATGTTGTTGCCCATGAATGCGGTAACGAGAATGGCGCAGATCAACTATACGATGTTAATGAGGTTCCTTCTTCGATGAGTCAATGCCACAACATACCTGCCAGGCGCGAAGGCCCATGGAGACAGCCCTTGACACCATATTGCTGATGTGTATATGGAAAATGTGGTGGTTGGGTGTAGTATGGATGCAAACGAAGTCAAGTTCGTCGTTTCTAGCAAAGCGTTAGGTTTGCGGTGGAGATGAAATGAATCGGGTGGCTGTTGTAGATGAAGGCGATCTGCTGTAGGAGGGCTGGGCTGGGGCTGGAGAATTATAGCAGTCGGCGGCTGGCGGGAGGAAGCGGGTCTTTGTGGCAGCGTCATAGGACCCTGGGCGACTGGCAGTGACGTATGAGGGTCCAATCGTCGCTTCCACCTCCGGAACTATCGGTACTTGCCTTGTTGGTAGCGCCGATCACGACGTGCGGATCTTCGACGGAAGATGGAATTGGAATTGCTGCGTGGTGTTTGTTTGCGATAAAGGCGATCATTCGCGTGTGCATTGCTCGAATACTATATATGATTTTACGTTGTTACGCGGCTGTTCTCCTGGTTGCTGCGCAACAACAGCGATGATGCAAGTCGGCACAGGGATGTCCATCAGCGCTATCAGCCACGCTGACGCCCCCAAGCGCTTCGCTCGCATGACCGCACCGTCACCCTAATTCTTTTCTCCGAGGGGGGCTACTGCAGTCTTCTACGTAACAGCTCATGCTATGACATGCGCTGTGGCTTCTGGACCGTCGCCGACACGTAAAGTTTGTCTTGACGACATGAGGTTTGACGTTGGTTTTGCACGTGGAGGAGGTTTGGATCTGCGGATACTCGCTCCCCGGATCGACGACGTGATCGCCATCGTTGCGCTCCGTGCGAACTGTTGTGTGACGCGGTTGGACCATGTTTGCAAATCGTCCTCGCACGAGCATTGCCGGCGAGCCAGTCATGATGTATGATCTAAATGCCATGTTCTTGGATTGAAAGGTCCTCGCAAGGGACATACTGTTGCAACTTCTGCGCTATATAGTCTTGCATGATATTGTGAAACGTAGCGGACGTGTCTTGTTGGGAACCGGCCCTTTCGCGTTGTTGACGTTTCTCAGAAACCTTCTTTGTGCCGTCGAGCATGCGAGTGTTTTATCGGCCACGCGACATCCTGGCGCGCAGACTTTGCTCAATGTGGAGTGGATTAGTAACATCAATCCATCACGCATTGTCTACATGTCAAGTACAAAGTCCAGTTACATGCATCAATAAAGCATACCAACAAAGCAAACATGTATCATTCATCTACATCATAATGTCCAACCCGTATCTGTATTGCAAAGACAAGAGTCTCAGTCTAGGCGACTTTTTCAGATTGGCCGTCCAGCTACCCATCGCTGCCCGAGAGCAGGAGGGTAACACGGACGCATTGATCTTCGACATTCTTTCGACAGCGCCAACAAGCGGCGTGCACCAAGTCACCCCTTCCCATACCAATGAACCGGCTTTGAGAAGGTGGCTTTATGTCGGTTGTCCGAGAAGGACTCGTTGTAATCCTGTGAAGCAGACGCCGGCGATTTGAAGGGAGATAGCGCAGCATCGCATGAGCTGTCTCCCGGAGGAGGAGCTGAGCAATGTCCTCGAGCATCGGCCATGTTTGTGTAGCCGCCCGAGCTCATTATCCTCATACTGTTCTCGACTCGAGGCTCCAATGTAGTCTCAAGGTAGGGGTTTCGCTCCGACGAAGGGCAAGCACATCGAGCTTGTAGGCGCCATGCGTGGTCGAAGACCGTTGGGAGAGGAGGCAGAAGCCGGCCGGATAGCCAGTGCATTGCGGGGGTGGTGGGGAAGGTGGTGTAGGAGACACGGAGGAGCTTGGAGCTGAAATTTTCAGCGAAAAAGCGGTTTGTGGGCTGCCGAAGGGGTCAAAGCGGAGGCAGGAGGCTGGGGAAGGCGGAGCAGGCAGACCAGAAGCTCGCGAAGAGAATCCACAGGGAAGGCGGCAGTTTGGGAGGACATCTAGGAGACATTGACCTTCTTCAGCACTTCCACAGCAGCTTGTTTGCCGCCGTGAAGGTCAGTGCTGATTGCTGCACCCTTTTGGTGACCTCGATGCTGTCCAGCTTTACCTTCCTGGCTGCCCAAGGTCTGGCCTCATCCCACAGACAGAGTCCTAGCACCACCCTCCTTCCCCTGCATGAAAGGTAAAGGCGGAGGTGTTATAGAAGCTCTTTGCCTTGAGAAGCCTTCCCTTATACCCCTTGTCATAGTGTTGTGATGTTGTTATGATGTTGTGATGTTGGTCTTGGTCCTTCCTCGGGCAAGCGCTGGTGTTGTCCGTGATGTTGCTCGAGCCTCGACCAAAACCTCTCAAATCACCCCACCCCCTTGAGCCCACCAACCCCCGATGCGCCCTCTGTGAAGCCATCAGGAGGTTGTGGTCCTACTCTTTGAAGTTGGGCTGCCTCGACACCCTGCGCCTCCGCCTCGGGGGTTCAGCGATGTCTTCTCGACTTCGGCAAATCGCTCCCTCAACTTTCAACCACAAGACTCCCGCCGCCCAGACGACGCATACTCACCTCCTTGATGGACCCACATACCACAGAGAGCTCTACCAACAGTATAGGAACGGCAACATGCTCAGCGAGACTGCTCGCGGCCTCCCCGCCATACGTACCAGACGGCAAGCCGAAGACATCACGCCCTCCTCTTTGCCTCCTTGCGGAAGAGACTTCAACGAATACGAAAGAGACAAGAACGCTTCACACCGTCGACCACCTCATACCAAGGTCGGCTGCCACTCCGACGATACTGCAATGCCTGTTTGGAGACCACCCTACGCGACTCCGCGGTCATAGCAACAACAACAAGTATCCTCGAAGACGGCGGCAGGCCACTCCAAGGCGCGCACCACCCCGAGAATGCTACTCTTGAATACAAAGGGCTGGCTGGACAACAAAGAAGTTGAGCGGAAGCCCCTCTATACTCCGCAACCATGATTGCAACACATTCTGCATACGACGGCGAGGTATCATGTCGACGCAGTCACCACCTTCGGAATACTGCTCTGGAATACGAAAGGCTAACCAGGCAACACAGAAGTAGGTTAGCGACCATTGGACTCAACGCGAACAGAGTTCATCCCTTGAAACCGAAGCGGCTTTCGGAAGCGGACACCATAGTCGAGCAGACACAATGACCAACCCCGCGGGGGTCCGCCCAACACCAGGACGAGGATACTCGTTGGCGGCTTCTGGACCGTACCCCGCGCAACTGCGAACGATACCCCTGCGAGATTCGAGTCGACACAATACAAACGCCACTCTCGAGGTTGGTGTGGCTTCCTGTGGTAGGCTGGGACATCAACAACGCGGAGAATGGTCCATATGTACGCACTTTGCAGATGCCATCAGGCAAGTCCAATACGAGCATGCGCCAGGCATTGCCACAACCATGCGGGACATTGGAAGCCGAGGGGCATTCTACTTTGACCGGGACGCGGATCAGAACATCGGGGCAAGGTACTTGCGATGCCGTTTGGTGACAGCCGGATGGCCTCCACATCGGACCGAGCACTTGATCGGTATCCCAAAAGAGGTTCACAAACGTCGGTTGCGACAGGGTTCCTTCGAGTCGGGCAGCCCGATCTGTGGCAATACCATACGTACCTTAAGAGCATACAATGTTGGCAAATATCCTGCAACGACAAACAGAATTCCAAAAGCCCACGGCCGAAGAACGAGCGACCGTTTGAACAAGGCCTCAGGCGGCGAACAGACGTGCGGGCGCATCGTTGACTGGAGGTACCGCGGGGCTTGGTTGTCCTCAATAACGCCAATGCTGTGCGCAAAATGCGGGGTTGTCAGGATGCCTCGCAGCCAATATGCAGAGCCGAAAGAGGAGACTGTCCAACAGCATGCCGTGCCTCGTGTGCTCGACACCAGCCAAAGACACACTGTAATACCCTGTCGGCTGCAGATGGCGAACATGTCGCGAACCACTCAGATGTCTTCGCGGGATATGTTGGTCGTTAGCTCCAGGAACGCTCGTTGTGTAGCCATCGGTTGCGATACGTATATCAAGGGCGGCGTCGAATAGGAGAGGCCCAGACGTGTCCACAGAGATCAACGCGCTGAGCGGGGCATGCCGCGGGTGCGTCAAGCAGCTAAAGAGCTTAGTATTGAGGCCATGGTTGTCGTCGAGACCGCGTGACCTGTTACACTCTAGGGCTGAAAGTGTCCGCAGTGCTGCTTAAAGCTGTTCCGGGGTGCGATAGCCTGACGGGGATGCAGCGTGACTGATGGCGCTTGAAGCGAAACAGAATGGCGTGCAGCAAGCATGAAGCCCTAGAAGAGAAGGGATGGATGTCTTCCGACGGGCCCAACCGAGTCCAGACAGAAGAAATGAGGGGTTCGTTGACGAAACCCCAGCCATGCAGCCCAACGCATCGTCGATCAGGAATTGGGCTAAAGAAGAAGGATGAATCCTGATGGAAGTCGATGAAGCTGTGTTGTCGAGAGGTGGTTACAAGAGGTTTGACGAAGGCCGACGGTTGGATGAACCGGGCCCTGTCCGGCGAGCTTCGCTACCCCCCAACAGCGCAGCAATTTGCAGGAGTTCGCCTGAAGCATACACGGCTAGCCAAAGTTGGGATGGCCGTCTCCGCATTTCCTGCGCAACGACCCTTCACAAGCCCCTGACCCTTGGCCAGCCCGGTGAGCTGCAGAAGCCTCAAAGGCGTTGCATGTCTGCTTGTCTCAGAGACTTACGTCTCGTCTCCTGTAATGAGCATCCTGCCTCGTCTTCCTCCTCTTGCCTCCCTGTCAGCCACATTTCGAAGTCTTTGAGATCGCCGTAAGCTCGCCGCGCTTGGGCTGGTGGAGTCGTCTCCTGATCTGACAAGGCGCGCGGAACGCAGGGTGTCTGCCGCGTCTGCTCCCAACGTTTCGAACGATCGCCAAGGCGAAACTCTGCTGCTGTCAGTCTGGCCTCTGCGGACGGTGCCCTCCCTATTATATTCATCTGTTCTGCCGTCCATGTCAGAGGGCGACATGTGCTTGCTCTAGTAGTCGCACGTCCATCCTCCGAACATTTGTCCTTGATCTGCGGGACAGCCTT